CCCTGCCCCAGGAAATCTGGCCAGGACGAGAGTCAGTCACTTCTGGGCCAAGTGGCACACAGGATACAGCAGGTCAGTTTAAGAGAGGTCAAACTGAGTGCTACTCTGCAAGATGGCCTGACCTTTCAGTTTCAAGAAAAGCAGGATATCTGGACCTTTATGTGAGTTCTTCCAACTGCGAAATGTTAGTAACCGATCTAAAAGCTGGTCACGGTGCTCCTAGCAACCGGCCCACTGCTCTCTAATGTGCATCTCTGAGAGCAGACACTTCGCCTCCAAGGATGCTTGTTCCTTAAACGACTTCCAAGAGACCACACCAGCCAGAAACTCATTTAATGACGTGAGGAGAAGCAGCCTCTGGAAAAATGTCAGCCCTTCCTGCTCACCCGAGAATCCGCACAGTGGGAGCCTCTCGTCGCTCGCCCTTCCCTGGCTCTCCCACTTAGCCTGGCACCACCCCAGCCCTGCCTGCCACCTCCTCCGTCCTGCACCTGCCGCTTCATGCACGGCTTTCCCTTCTTGACTTCAGCCACTGCTCTGGATTCTGTTCCACCGTGCGTCCTTAGACTCTTATTCCGTGTCCCAAGAGCCTCCTGTTTCTTCCTGGCCCCTTGGAGGTCCCCAGCCTCTCGGCTGCCTGCTGGCCCCCCACAGTGGAGTCCAGAGGACGAGTGATGGGGGACTCACTTAGAATCACTTAGAGCAAAGCCACTATTCATTTTACCACCAGCTGTGATCAGTGGGTGTTTGCGGGCCCTGTGGCACTTATCAGAGTATGCATTTTCTTTCTTTCTTTCTTTCTTTCTTTCTTTCTTTCTTTCTTTCTTTCTTTCTTTCTTTCTTTCTTTCTTTCTCTCTCTCTCTCTCTCTCTCTCTCTCTCTCTCTCTTTCTTTCTTTCTTTCTTTCTTTCTTTGACAGGCAGAGTGGACAGTGAGAGAGAGAGACAGAGAGAAAGGTCTTCCTTTTGCCGTTGGTTCACCCTCCAATGGCCGCCGCGGCCAGCGCACTGCAGCCAGCACACCGCGCTGATCCGATGGCAGGAGCCAGGTACTTATCCTGGTCTCCCATGGGGTGCAGGGCCCAAGCACTTGGGCCATCCTCCACTGCCTTCCCGGGCCACAGCAGAGAGCTGGCCTGGAAGAGGGGCAACCGGGACAGAATCCGGTGCCCCAACCGGGACTAGAACCCGGTGTGCCAGCGCCACAAGGCGGAGGATTAGCCTAGTGAGCCACGGCGCCGGCCCAGAGTATGCATTTTCATCATCTCAGTTCATCAGTGTCCCCTTCATCTGAGACAGAGCAGGACTCTGCCCCCCGTACCGTGATGGGAACGGAGGAGTACGGCAGCCAGCTCGCCACCAGCCCCTGAAGTGATACTCTTGTGGAATGAGCGTTGCTTAGGGAGAAGCTCCCCGGGCATCTCTCCCAGGAGGGGTCCTTGACAGAAAGACAAATATCTGTGTTTTTGCAGGGACTGGAGCCCTGGGACCATGAGACGGGTCCGCCAGTCTTGGTTCCAGCCACCAGCATCAGGCTGACTTCCTGTTACTCCACCTTGGCCAACCAAGTGAACAGTGAGCTCCAACTCACCAGTGAACTCCTCAACATTTCTGGTGGCCCAGGGTGGGGGTGCTCAGGACCCGGGTTAGGATGCCTGGGCCCCCAGTCAGAGAATCTGGGGGCCACCCTTGGCTCTGGCTCCTGACTCCAGCTTCCTGCTGACACAGACTCCAGGAAGCAGCAGCAGTCATGACTCAAGTCATTGTCTTCATGCTGCCCACGGGGCAGACCTGGATTCAGCTCCTAGATTCTAGCTTTGCCCACAGCCCAGCCCCAGCCGTTATGGACATTTGGAAAGTGAACTGGAAGATGAGAGTGCCCCCCCCATCCTCTTATCTGTCTTTCTCTGTCTCTCTACCTCTGCCTCCTACAGGGAAGACAGTTGCTTTAGTAACTGGGCCTCTTCCATCGCCTCACCAGTGTGAGTCATGGGGGCTCATGGGTGGACCTGCTATCAACATTTCTATGTATTTTGTTTGGGCAGCGAAGTTATCCGCACACCTAAGCTTCAGGGTCTCTGGTGCCAAAAACCGTGAAGACCGAACTCACTGGAGTGGCATTCAGGGACTTCCGGAAGCTGGCTCCACCTCTTGTTCTAATTTCTCATTTCTCCACTCTCACATGCTGCATAGTCCATGCTCCGGATCAAGCTGCACTGTGCATCTATAATTCCAAGTTATGCCTTTTTGCTAATGCTGTTCCTTTAGGCAAAAACCTTGGCACTCATGGCTCTGTCTAGCAGGCTGAGTTCATCTCTCCAGACCCAGCTCAACTGCTCACTTTGTGGCTTCTCCACCTTCCCTTCAGTTTCCTTCTCTCTCCTCTGAGCATTCATGCCTGCGATCCATCCCTTGCCACCTTATACCTGAGACTTATATTCCAAGTCCCAGTTCTCTGTATCTCTTGCTGGACTGTGAGTCCTAGAAGACCTTGTCTTTGTATCCCAAGCTGCTCCTCCGTGCATGGTGGGTAACTTAAAAAAAATAGACAGACAGTGAAATGGTCATTTACTGAGCTCACCAGTGACAGGTGCTTTCCAACTTTACTTTTCATCCTCACACTGCCTTGCTGAGTCAGATTTTATGATCACAGAGCCCAGAGAGGTTAAGTGACTCACCAAGGACACACAGCTAGCTGTGGCTGGGTGAGAATTTGAGCACAGGTCTGTCCAGCTCTCCCAATAGGCAATGCTGCCTCCTACTCCTCCTCCCCTGCTCAAGTCCACACCCAGGGCTCTGAGAGGTGGGAGATCCCGAGCTTCTCCCCTGACTGCAGCCACTCAGTTTCCTGTGCTAAGTGGGCCTGGGTGGGAACACAGGGCCCCAGGAGTGTCTTCTCAAGGGTTCGGCTTTGGGCTTCCAAAAAAAGCATCTGGTGCAGAGGCAGCACATGGTGTTCCTGTTCCCTGGCTTGGCTCCCGTGGAGAGATGTCCCCCGAACACGGCCTTGTGTTTGGGCTCACGGGAGAGAAGTGTTAGTTTCACTAAAAACTGTGGGATTTAAGCAGTCCAGATGCACTGCCCAGCATCCATGTAACAAGAAGGTGCACTGTGCAAAGGAGAGAGGGCTTCCTCCCCATCCTGCCAGGGGCCACCACCCATGACCTGAGGGCTCAGGAACACAGCTCAGTCCTGGCCCTGGGAGGGCTGTAGGCTGCTGGCTGCCGCCAGGCCATGGTTTCAGCGTGGGCCAGTTGAGGTCAGAATAGAACCAGGAATGGGTTCTCTTGGGACCACTGGCACCCACTGCCCCAGCAGTGGGAGGTGGCGGCCGTATGCTTGGGAGTGTGCGTTAGCAGACTGCTCTTTGGGGTGGGCGGCAGGGCAGCCGAGAGGGTCCTGGCAGCCATGGCAGCAGGTGCCGGCTGGCGAGGTGGGGAGGAAGAGGTCAATGGCAGACACTGTCTTAAGTTCACGAGTGGACATTTGATAGAACCCCCAGAGGGCCTCCCAGCCATACCTGGGAACAGTGTGCGATGAAAACACTGCCACAGGAGGTGACCAAAGAACCAGAGACATACTGCGCGTTGACAGTGATGCTATTGTCACACACACACACACACACACACTGCCATCTGTTCAGGCCTGGGAGGACACCAGTTCAGGTGCATCCTTATGTATCTTACTGCTTTTATTTCATTCATTCATTTCTTCTCTCAACAAATACCTATTAGACCCGTGACAGAATTTTATCATCTACACAACCATCAGCAGCACCTGATGCAAATTACAAATTCACCACCCTAGGTTGAGGTATTTTGGCTCTTAGTTAACAATCATAAAATAATGCCTCAAGAATTCAAGGATTAGACAATAACTTTTGTTCTATCTTCAGAGTTATTTGTATGTGTTGAACATTTATTTATGTTTTTTACATTTTTACAAAGTAAGCAAAGTTAAACTGCATTCCACTACCCACTGAATAAATCCCCTTTACTGAAATGTCATCATCACCCAAAAGAGAGGACTGTCATTCATTATGCGGGTTGTGCGGGTGCCACATTTTCTGCTGGCCTCGGTTCCTCCCAGCCAGGTCAGTCACAGTCTGAGGACCCTGTGCCATTCGTTCCCTGCATGATCGGTGAGAATTAGTAAAGGAAGGCTTGTCGCGTCCCTAGTACCACATGAAAAGCGGGCTGTGTTAAGCTCAGCCAAATGCCTGCTGGACAATGAAGAAGTTGCCTACCATTTCTTCATTCTGAATGTCCCCCAAAACCCCACATTTGTGTGTTACAGCAGCCAAGCCATGGAAACAGCTGAAGTGTGTGTGAATGGATGAACACATAAGGAAGTGTGCTGCACACCCACACACATACACACACACACACAATGAAATGTAATACTACATCCATGTTGGTGCAACGCGGCTCATCCATGTTGAGCCTAGAGGACGTTATGCTAAGTGGAATGTGGTGACACAGACAACTACTGCATGATCTCACTTTCATGTGGAATCCGGAAAAGTCAAATTCATAGGAAGAGGAGCCTGGTGGGCCCCAGGGATCAGGCAACAGGGCAAAGTGGGAGGCATGGATCCAAGGGAAAAGATCCATGCGTTTCTAGATTGGTACGTTCTGGAGTGCTGACAGGCAGTGTGGTGGCTACAGTTACTAATAATGTGTGATGTACTTGAACTTGCTGAGTATCGTACACACGCACACACAGAGTAACCGTGTGAGGTGGTGATATGCTAGTTAGCTTGATGGCAGTAGCTATCTCACAATGCACGTGTATGTTAAAACATCATGTTATATACCTTTAATATGCAGCATTTTTATTCATCAATTGGACGTCACTCCAGCTGGGGTGCAAACCTTGCTCCGGTCTCCTCACAGGACGGCCACGCATCTTCAGGATGCTAGGAGAAATACTTTAGCTTAACCCCAGGAAGACCCTACCTGCCCCCAGCCTAACACCGTCTGTGTTTTTGTTCTAAACCAGGGCCCTGCACCCGCAGAAATAGCTCACAGTCCACCCACAATCATCCTGACTGGAGATGTCAGTTCACCGGAAGGAGAAACCGACAAAAACCTGGCCAACAGGTACACGTCCCGGGTGCCTGATTCTTCTGCTGTGATGCACAGTATCTCCTACAATATGGGGATCAGGTTGTTCTGTTTTTTTAAATATTTTCTTCTTTCTTGTATCATTTTATTGGTGCAAATACAACCAAGCAGTTTGGGATTTTTACAGTAACTTTTTCCCCAAATGAGTTTCCCTCTCCTGCATCTGGCCCTTTGCACTCTGCGAGGCTGTTTGAAATTCACAGCCAGGAAGTTTCTGCTACAGACCAGGTATCTGCAGATGGTTGGCAAGATGTGAGTCTTTGACTGTGGGATCCTGCCCCTGGCTGAAGCAGGTTCCACGTGGAAGATGGTCTCCTAGGAGGGACATGGGCTCGCATGCTCCGGGATGTCACTGCTTTGGTTTTACGTAGCACTAACCCATTCCTTCATCTGCCTCAGGGGTAGGGAATCTTTACTCCCAGAAGGGCCACTGGGCATTTATAGTATCATTCATGGGCCATACAAAATTAGCAACTTAAAAACCGGCCTGCTCCCAGCTCTCTGCTGTGGCCAGGGAGTGCAGTGGAGGATGGCAGTGGAGGACGGCCCAAGTGCTTGGGCCCTGCACCCCATGGGAGACCAGGAGAAGCACCTGGCTCCTGGCTTCAGATCAGTGTGGTGTGCCGGCCGCAGCGGCCATTGGAGGGTGAACCAACGGAAAAGGAAAAAAAAAAAACAACAAAACAACACCAATCTGCTATACATTTAATGAATTTCGAGTCCTGCCTGTGGTTGCTGTGGCAGGGCCAGACTGAATGATTTTACAGGTCTTAAATGGCCCACAAGCCAGACGTTTTCCACCCTGGTCTAACTGGAGTGAGATAATCTAAGCATAATTTTCAAAAACTTAAAAAAAATGGCAGGTCTTTGGTGCAGTGGTTAAGGTACTGCTTGGGATGCCTGCAACCCATATTGGAGTCTCCAGATACAAATCTCAGCTCTACTTCCAATTCCAGCTTTCTGCTAATGGTCACCATGGGTGGCAGCAGGCGATCACTCAAGTACTTGGGTCCCTGCAACCATATGGGAGACCTGGATCAGGTTCTGGGCTCCTGGCTTCAGCACAGCCTACCCCTAGCTGTTGCAGGCATTTGGGGAGTAAACCAGTGGTTGAACAATCTCTTTTTGCCTCTGTCTTTCTAACTTTCAAATAAGCAAATATCCTTAAAAGGATAATCCTCATACAAATATATAGTGAGCATATGTTAAAGATTTATTTTTTGCTCATTAAAGGGAAGCAGCAGGATACCAAAATCAATTCAGAGGAGGGTAGTCCTCTACGCGATGTGTGTGTGTGTGTGTGTGTGTATCCATATCTGTATCTAGATTTAGATATACCCTGTATATCTATATACATATGTGCATATAATTAGTGGGGAGGGAAGGAATGCTGGAATAACATTGCTAAGTTAGATATAAAATAGGTTAATGCTCTTCAGGGCAATGAAGTCATACTCTCACCTTTTCTCTCAAATATAAATCATCAGTATCTCTACCAGACCTCAGTTCCTTACTTTTTTTTTTTTTTTTT